TTTGGACTGGAATTACACCACCAGCTTTACTCGGCCTCTCAGTCTTGATGATTGCATGAGCCGGCTCCTTGTAATAAATCTGTCACCTAGGAGTTGCTGTCCCACTCGTTTTGTCAAGAAGCCCCAAACCCACTAACTGTTGGTTATAGTTTGAAATCAAGGAAGCTCACCGTATTTCGGATGCTGCCTTTAAAACATAAGACCTTTGAGTCAGGTCTGAAACTGTACCGCTTAAGTGTCCTAGAGATGCTAAATCAGTTTCACCCTATTGCTTAGCACCAGATCCACTCAGTACCACCAAAAATAGCACTTGGTTTTTAGGCTCTAAAACCACATACACAAAGCTGAGTGTTCACAGTACACACAGGTGAGAATCCGTAGGTGGCTGACCAAATTCAGCCTGCCTGACCTTGCAGCATGAGGACCTCAGGGGACATAATTGGGGTATTTGGGCAGATTGTACCCTGAAGTCGTAGCTGCAGCCTGAAAAGGAAGACTAGCTGAGGAACATAAGGTTGAAGTTAAGGCAAACCTGACTGCTTGTGACTTTTCCACTACTCTGGTATGGATCTAATCCCCTCTTGTTTGTTCGTGATCAGCTTAGGTCATTAGTTTCCCTCCCTGGACTTTGATTTCCTTATCTGCTAAGTGGGAAATTCCAGATGGTGGCTAATGCTTCCTCAGACTTCAACATTGTATAGTCTTAAACATTTCTTGCCAGTAAGGAATAATGTACTTTTGTACTTAAGCACAAGTTTTGGCTTTCAAAATTTGAACCCTCCTCAGAAGAGTGAATACTAGAATGCCAGAGCTGAACCCTTATCAGATTTTAACTGCTTGTTGGTGAAATAAGGGAGAAAAGGACAAGAGAAAAGACTGTTTCTGGTTTGAAGTTTCTTCCCTCTTTTGTGGAGGTAACGAATCTTGTTCTTATAACTTGATAGTCCTGTGTGTTTGCTTACTTGTTGAGGTTCTTATTCGGCAAAATACAGTTGGAAATCCCATGTTGGCCTCCAGATTTTTATTGTTGAAACAGTAACAGCTCATGGGATCCAAATATCTTGTGCCACTTCTCACTGTCCACCTCACAGTTGACATTTCTAAAGCTTCAATTTTATGCCAACATGGAAAAGTGGGGTCCCCCCCAAACATTACATAAATGCATTGAAGAAACATAATATAAATCTTCAATTGTGACAAGTCTGCTCTTCAGTAGACTGCATGTTTGCTGAGTAAGTCTAGGTGCTGGGCAGCCTCCTGATGGCCACCTCCAGGCTCAGACAAGGAAAGCTCACTGGTGTCTTTGATGGAACTCTTGTACTGGCCAGCAGATGAATGCTGATTGCAGTTGTGTTTACTGCCTTGGCTAAGCATTTCATGCATGTGCAGGGGAGCCTCTGTGCTGGACGGCTGTGGGTCAGCACTCATACCCACACTCAGTGGGTCTGCCAGTATGCAACCTCAGAAAACGCAGCTTGGTGTCTTCTGGCTGATACTCGCTGCACCTGCCGTTTGGTGCTGCTCTTGTGCCTTGTTACTCCTGATAAACTCCAGCCGGGGCCAGCAGTCCCATTCATCTGCATTCCCTGCAGTAGAGTACCATTCAGGTCCAGTTGGTATTTGTTATTCACTGGAGCAGCTTAATAATCAGAGGCCAACCCTTCTGCTGGGGTATTGAGCGTGCAGAGCTTTGTTTTGGGGTTATGACTTTTACCCCTAACTTAAAAAAAATTTTAATGCTGTGAATGGTAATACACATAAGGGTTAATCCTCATGATACTTTTAAAAGAAATACTGTGAAAAGTGTCCCTTTCATTCCCATGCCTTTTTTACCCAGCATCCAACTCCAGTGATCACTGTTACTAGGGACCTATCTATCCTTCAAGGATTTTTTTTATGCATATACATGCCCAAAGTATATTTTTTGCTTTTGTATGTAAGTGGTGGCATGCTATACTTAGTATTCTGCATCAAGCTTCTTTGACTTATAATTTGTCTCAGAGATCTCACCACGTCAGTACATAAGCCTCCTACTTTTTAAATTGCTGCATAGTATTCCAGTGTGTGGCTGAACCGTAATTAATTTGACCAGTTCCCTTCTGAGAGATGTCTGGGTTGCTTCCAATCCTTCATCCTTACAAATAGTACTGTAATGAGTAACTAGGCACACACTTGCAATTTTGTACAAACACTACTTTGTATGTAGCATAAATTATAGTCATGTATTTGCTGAATCAAGAGTTATGTACATTTGTTATTTTGACAGAAGTTGTGAAAATATCTGCCTAAGGAAAAGTATCAGTTTACTTTCCCACTAATGATGTTTCAAGGTGCCAGTCTCCCTTGAGCTATATCAGTTTTCCATTTTTGCCCATCTGATAGATAAAATGATCTCTCAGTGACAGTTAATTTGCATTTATTCTATTATGAATGAAGTTGAACATCTTTTCATATTTTTAAGTCATTTATGCTTCCATTTCTGTGAAGAGCCTGATCGTAACCTGAGCTTTTTTTTTTTAACATATAATTTTTTGATCTTCGGGGAATTTGTCCTTTGTGATATGAGTTGTATATATTTTCCCATTTTGTCACTTTCTTTTTCCTTTTTTCTTTCTTTTTTTTTTCATTTTTAGTGACTTGATGGCTTTTTACACTGGCTGTCAGAGTGAATATCTAAAGAAATAAATCTTCCCTTTCTTTAACTAGAAATGTTCTGTGTGTGTGCTCATGTGTGTGCGTGTGTCTGCCTGTCTCATCTCTGCCTAACTGTATCCTTCTTGTACCATTACTGAATGAACCACAGTAGTGATCAAGGAGATGTGAATCTAAGGAAAAATATTGTAATTAATGGTGGCTTCAGGGACAGGTAAACAACCCCAAAAGCTCAGAGAAACCAAAAATGAGAATAATAATAATAAATATTATATCCACTCTGATAAAAACTTGAGCCCCTACTGCATAAAAGTAAGTCAAAGAAAAATTCCACATAAGTGGAACATGAGTGTTTCGTGTCACTCTTGAACGTCAAAGGTAATCTGCTCTAATGAAATGAGTTACTTTGATTACATGAGATAGGAAGGAGAAAAGCGAGTGGAAGGAATTTAAAAATTGGCAACACCCGAAGCCCACTGAAAATAGCCTGCTTCAGAACCCAAGGCACTGTGATTATTTTTACTTGTAACAGTGAGGAAGGATGTCAGAGGTCACTTACAGCCACTGTGCTTTTTTACCCCTTGTTTCTACATAACCCATGTTTTTAAGCTATAGTCATAGAAGTTCCAAAATCATTCCTTTCAGCATTCTCATAGGACCTGTAACTGAGTGCATGTCTCCTCAGAAATCCCAAGTTATGGAACGAGGAAATGTTTGAATACAGTGCATGGGCATCATAGATGGGTTATGAATATTCAAATGTCCTTGCTTAGGGCAGCAATAACCATTGAAGTGAGTGGGTGACTTGGGGGGTATTCCATGCAAGGAGATAGAGATGACTACCCTCCTCCCAGTCAGCTCAGTTCCTGTGTCACCTTCGTATGTCACTGTCCTGTGTGTGCCTTCTTGCTGCCTGAGTGCAGACCCCGCCTTTCCAGATACCATTTTTTATAAGATTGTGGCCCCTAACAACTCAAGCCAGCTCCCTCTTCTGGAACTCACCAAAAGAAACATTCCTCTATAACTATGTGGGAGAAAAACTGACTGCACTGAGTATATTGAAGAGAGAATTTCCTAAATAATTTTCAAGCCTGATTTTTGACTATGGTGGATTTCTTTCCTTTATATGTTAACTTTTGAACCTAAGCTTTTTGAACTCTGAGAATCAGCTTTACTGTGTTAGTATGAAAACTCATTCTTTCACTCAAAAAGTACTTATTGTCTACTGTGTGTCAGGTACTGATACAAAGATCTGACTGAGCTCTGTAAACTTAAATTGTAGTAGATTCCAAGTGCTTGTCGTAGTCCAGAAGCCTTTTTATTTGCACAGTTTATTTGTGTAGTACCCGTGAAAGTCATCAAAATAAACTTGCATAGAGCTTAAATGTCCCACCTAGAATGTGATAAAAAGAAATCCTCAACCTCTACATAAAAGTGTATTTATTCGACTATATTTTTCTTTTTCTTTTTCTTTTTTTTTTTTTACAGTGAAAGATTAGGTGCTTGTCTGATGTCATGTGAAATGTATTATTTACATGTAGTCAAAGAATAAAGTGAATGGGTAACATTAAACATCAAAATTCGGGGTAGTGGGTACCGCTAAGGGGAAGGAAGGGTATGTGATCAGTAAACAGTACTGAAGATGTTTCAACTGTATGAATAACATTTTATCTCTTAAGCAGCATTTTAGATTCGTGAGTATTCACTGATTTCTTTATACCTTTTATATAGCATAGATTTTGCACAAAAAATTTTCAAACATGAACCCAAAAGAGGGGAAATAAAGATAATGATATATATGGGAATGGAAATTGGGTTTTAAAACCCCTAAAATATTTAAGATCATTTTCCTTTAATTATGGATGTAAGGAAGAATTCAGATTCAAGACCATGCATTTTTCCAGTATGATGGTTCTCTCTGTTGGTAAAATATTTTCTAAGTTATTTCACTTATTCCTTAAGTGTTTATCCAGTATTCAAAACTAATGGCCAGAAACATGTGTTTTTGAAACTGCTCCACGCACTAAGCCTTGAATCTTATACCTAAAGCATTGCAACAATGGTTTTATTAAGGAAAATGGAAGAGTTTTCCCAGGAAGGAGGCACAGGGGGATGATGACAGATTTTCAGGCTAAAGACACACTGTGGTTGGTGGGGATGCCTGCTTGGAGTGGCCCTCGCTGCATTAGCATCTGTTTTTACCTGATGGCCATTGACCTTTATCAAGGGATGTTTTACTAGAGTGGAACCTGGCACAGGACTAGCAGAGCTAGAATTTGAAGTCAAAATTGTCTCTGCTAACATTTCCTCTCTCTCTCTTTCTTTTTCTTTTAATATTTTAACTGCAGTGAAGGGAGCAATCTGACCCCAGCACATCACTACCCTGACTTCAGATTTAAGACATATGCTCCATTAGCATTCCGGTATTTCAGAGAACTTTTTGGTATCAAGCCTGATGATTACTTGGTAAGAACCTATAATTTTCCTTCCTTCTCCAGAAATGTGTGACGTCAACATTTGTCTCATAGCAACAGCGACAAGTGGCTTCTGTCTCTGATTTTCTAAAGCTCCAGAGCATAGTGAAATTTTCAAGTTTTGTAACAATTATTAACTTAGCTTTGGGAACTGAGGTTTGACTCTGCAACTTCTATCTGATAGCTACAAAATCTGCTGTGGTGATTGATATTTAAATAAGTGTGATACTTGGTTGCTACTTGAGATAATTATTCTAACAGCTCTATTATAATTAGTTATAAATACTCCTGTGAGTTTTGCTGATTGGATTCTGTTTGAAAGCCTTCCGATTTTAATTGCCTTATTTATACCATTCATCTGCAACCCGCTTTGGCCCACAGCCAGTTTCACCTTGACCTACAATTTAAATGCAGTTTTAAAGAAGCTGGATAGCAGGCTCTTTCTAAAGGTATTTTTATTTGGTACCAGAGGGTGTATTATCCTTAGCCCTGTCTTTTCTCCCTGTCTGCTGTCTGGCATGCAGCAGGTACAAGACTTTCTCTCTTTCTCTGAGAAAGTCTGATGTGACCTCAGGACCTCAGAGTTTTACCTTATTCCTGTTCAGGAAGCCAGGAACTTCCTTTCTGTTTCAAGAGGAAACTGGTTTATCTCATAATTTGATCACTGTTAACACCCTGGGGCTCTTCAGAATTGGTTTCCTGGATGCTCTAGGAGGGGTACCATCATATATTTGTTGTTCACCCCATTCTGAATGATCTCGATAAGACTTGAGCCAGATCCTGGAATAATACTTTGCAGAGGAAGTACAGCAATATTTGCTGCTTGTTAACAGAGAGCATTTAAACTGAATCTTATAATTTGGGTAAGATGTAAATGATTAAATTCAAAGCTGATTCTGTTCTGGACTGGCGAAAACCCACAAATGAGTTTCTTCTTGAGCTGGGCCCAAAGGAAATGGTGTGACTTCTGCCTAGTGAATGAGACTGGTTCCTCAAGTCACATTAATAAGTCTTCATAGAGTGTAAGAATGGAGTAGAATATCCCTAGGCATCCTGCTGCCTTAAATGTGCACAGCCATGTACACCTCACCACACCTCTTTGTTGGAGATGTTAGATGCCTCTATCCACCATTACCAACCCTGCCCTCCCAATCACTCAAGTACACAAACATACATATTTGCAGGGTTGGATCGGGGGATAATATATTAGGGAAGATTCTATAGTTTCGTCATTCTGTAATTACTGAGGGTCACTATCACTCAGGAAACGTGTCTGGAGAACCCAGTGGGGTCTTGATAATGTGTTACTAAAAATAAGATTGGTATCTCATCTTCTTCCATACATTACTAATTAACGAATCCTCCTTCTGACATACCTTGAACTTCTGCCAGCCAAGGAGATGCCACAGACTTGGATTTCATAACACAGACTCAGTTAGTGTGGTGAGATGGCTGTCTTTCTACCCTGAGTAGGTCTCTCCTCTGCCCGTTGACCTGCAGGCTGGGAAGCCCATTCTTTTACCTATTCTAGCTCACAAAATGGCTTCCCTTGTGGAAGGCCATTTTCTGAGCAACAACTCAAGCAGTTTATAGTTTCCTAATGAGACTTTAAGCTGGAAAAGTTACCTTCATAATGAGGTTAGAATATTTGCAAAGGAGCACAGGAGACTACACTGATGGCTACTCAGAGCAAAATTCCTCCTTCATGTACCTGGCAAAAGGTACATTGATCATTAGATACTTCAGACACCTACTGTAACTAAAATACTTGGCTAATATTAAGAGGAACCTCAAAAAAAATTGTAAGTCATGGCATTCAGAGAACTTAGAATCCAATTGAAATGATCATTTGTTTTTGTAGGAAAACAACCAGTTCTACTAGGCAGTAAATTACAGGACTGAAGTGAAACTAGTAAATGCTCCAGGATTTCGAAGGAGGAAAGGGTCTCTGTTGGATTGATGATTAGGAGGGCTTCTTATGGGCATGGCATGGTTTAACTGTGACTTAAAAATGACAAGGGATTTGAGTAAATGGGAAAAAAGGGAAAGATTCTAGGGTGGCGTGTAGGGGCGGGGAGCAGTGTTCGGACTGAGAGGCCAGAGTTACAAATGCATTGTGTTTAGGACTTTGAATGATCCAGTATAATAGGAGGGGAAGGTTTTAATCAGGAATATTAGACAGATAGGGCCAGACAATTCAAATAACCAGCTGTGTGTGTGTGTGTTTTTAATTATAGGAAATGAGTGAAATGTATAGACTGACTAGATATTAGATTATGTTGAAGATTCTTTTTGGGCAGGGGTGGGATATTGGTATTGCAGTTCTGTTTTAAAAGAGGGATCCTTGTCTTTTAGAGACATACTGAAATATCTATGGAAGAAATGATTTGATGTCTACAATTGCTTCAAAAAGTCTTAGGAAGCAGGCAGGGGAGTGGTTGAGGATATAAGGGAAACTGTGTTGGCCCTGAGTTGATAGTTGCTGAAGCCAAAAGATAGACATATGAATGTTAATTACACAGTTCTCTTTACTTTTATGTTTGTTTGAAATTTTCCATAATAGAAAGTTGGGGGGTGCGGGGATAGGATCAGACAGGTAAGTGTACTTTTATTTGATTGCATTTTCCACCTCCCTTATTAACTGTACCCACAGTTCAATAACTGGACCCATCTCTGGGACCTGCAAGAAACAGAACGAGGGCAGTGGACCTCTGGTTACACACAGGTAACCGGTCCCCAGAGGCTGGGGCTACCCATAGCCCAGGACTGAGGCAGCTCCCTTTACTGATCTTGGAGCTTCTGGAAGTACACCTCCAAACCGCTATATCTGAGGACCCCACCCAGTGGTCTGGAGTGTGGTAGATGAGGATGGGGTCTTCTGCCTGATGCAGCATGCTTCAGAGGGTCAAGTAGACCCCTCAGAGATTTTCAGCCCAAATCTTCATTGTATGAGGAATCTGAAGCTGGTGAGAAGAGGTACCCAAGGTTACCCACCTTGGGAGGCGGGAGTGGAGCCCAGGCCAGAACAGTACCTCATGTCCTTCCCCAGTTGTCTTTCCTTCCACCGGCTGGCCTCATGCTTCCCAACCCGCTAAGTCTCAGACCTCTCATTAGATGTGGTCTCAAGGTAGCCATCCCCTGGCCCATCGAACTGTGATTATCCATTCTAAAGAGTACAGCCAAGGAGGTCAAAGATCCTTAACAAAGCACATTTTGGAGGAGTTAAGCCCAAAAAACACAGAAAAATGAAGTAAGTTTTTCCCCTGAAAAAGTACATGAAGGGAAAAAAAAAAAGAAAAAGATATGGTGCAGATCACAAATGCATCCTGGCATTTGTCAAACTGCGGCTATCTAAACCCAAATTTGTGATGTTGTATTGATCTATATGGGAGGGGAAAAGAGGGGGTAACTTTATGTAGTGATTGGTATAGCTCCATAGACAGATTTTACATTGGATCCCTGTGACGTGTGTATTGCTACTTAGTTTTGTGCTGTTGCATCTGGGTTTCAGCCTGAATGATTCTGATTACATTCTCAGTACCATTAAAATTCACTATGTGCATGCTGATTACAAGTTCATGTTGCAACAGGCATAACTTTGGATGTGAGACAGTGTGGTGAAGGCGCGTCTGTGTGCACCACACAGCAGTGCAAACGCTGCTTATTTTTTTCCTAAATAAACACCTCCCAGGGGAAGACCGAGGCCCCCAGAGCATTTGTTCCCCTTTCTGCTTGGGCAGCAGGCCTTTGGCTCATTTCCTTCTTTACCAGATGCCTAGGTATTCCCAAATCCAGGGTGATTTGTATGATGTTTTTCAGGCTCACCTGAAAGAGCAGGGTGAATATGTAACACTATCGAGGGAAAGAAATGGCAGGAAAAATGGTCTCTACCACACTGTGCACATTTACAACGTTAATTTGCCTTGGCAGGGCCCAGCTGGGTTGTAGTTTGCATTCTTTCCAGTGGGTAGGGTAGAGAGGCCCTGCAGGAAATAGGAGGCAAAGAATGAACACATTGGAGCAGCTCAGGCAGATGAGAGTACCAGGAAGGTGCACAAAGACAGGCGTGCGCACAGGGGCTCGATGCTCATGGCTAATTAAAATGTTTCTCTAGCTCCTCTTTATTTGCTCTTAAAAGGCAACGTTGTGGAGAAGATTGATTAGAGGAGAACATGGTAACCAGATTGCAGGGTGAGCAGCCATAGAATTACAGGTGATAGTGGCAGCAGTCCAGGAAGTTCAGCATCATAATGGCGGTTTATTGCAGACTGATACTGTGCTAGGAGTGACCCCAAAATGGTTATTAAGATAGGTCAAAACAACTGATTTTTCCATTCATATTAATTGCATAATAAAGGAGTATTTGGTAATTAAGTAACCAATGAAGTAGTCTCCAGATGATATCACTGCTTATAGAAGAATTTGAGACTTTCATTGGAAGCAGATGTTCAGGTCTGAATCCAATTTTCTCTCGACATCTCTTTGTGAGTCACCCCCTGATTTCTGTTTGCAGCCCCTGATTTCAGCATTCTTTGTTGTTTTGGGGCTTTCACAACATTTCCTCCTATCCAAAAGAAGGTTCTGGGCTATAGGTTCAAACCCCATGGAAGAAAGAACCAGAATCCTCAAGAGAGTCTGGGGTCTGTCTTCACTTTTTATGAGAACTTGGGGTCCACACCTTTATTTTCCAGGGTTTTGAGTTCATGATTATCCAAAAGACCCACCTTGTTTCTTGCTTCACCAAAAGCATCTTAGTGTGCCTTTGGGTAGCCCCCTTGTCGTGGGAGGTAGGCTGAAACTCTCGGGACATACTCGGGCACTGCCGGCTCTCCTTCAGCTGTCTATGGGAAGTACGCGTGATCGTGTAATGGAAAATGGCAACAGCGATGACTGAGTCGTCACTCTGCCAGGGGTTTCAAAAGCAGCCATTTTTAAAACTTTGAGCTACTTTCAGGTAGATATTACCATCTTTATTTAAGAGATGAGGTTCCTAAGACTCCAAGATGCTAAGTTAGGTACTCAGAGTCACATAACTAGCCACTGGCAGAGCCACGATTTTACAAACATCAGTTGATTCCAAGTTCCGTGCCTGTCCTTCCCACGTGGACTCTGCACACACAGCAAGGAGGGTGCCCTCTGCTTCCTCTTGGCTGTGGCATCCTGTGTGCAGTCTAATGACTGGTTTTGTTTTCCTCCCTTATCCTCAACTCCCTCATAAGGGCTTAGGCTGTAATGCTGCCTAGCAAGAGAGCTTTAGGGGGCAAGGCTAGAGGAAAAAGGAGGAGGTAGAAGATGAAAACTGCCCGTGACTTTTAGGAAGGCAGCAGACCCTTGCTGCTTTTTTTTTGATGAATTTTGTTTCCCTTACCCACAGTTCTGCCAAAGCAAGGTAACTGAAAATGTGACATCTAGAAACTGCCTTTTGATTGTTTTTCTCCCAGTTTCTCTCTCTCCTCTTCCCTCCTCCCCTCCCTCGTCCTCTTCCTTGCCTCCTCTCAGATTTTTCTGTGATAGGGGCTTAAATATTCACAAGCCCAGGTAAAACATTTTGGGGATGTTCAGCCCTGGTGTTTTCAGATGCCTCTATCCTCAAAATACAGTTCTTTAAATCCCTGCTTCTGCCCTTCACCAGGGCTGTCTTATCTCACACATCAGCCCCCTTACCTTTTTCTCTGCCCCCATTGTTTCTCTGGTCAATAATGGGGATTGTTGGTTAGTGAACACTGAGCTCCATAACCAAAAATTGACCATTCTACTGGTTTTTGGCACTTTGTGGTGAGACTTCCAGCCTTCAGTTGTTAGTAAAATTCAGTCACTTATTTGACAAAATGTATTGAGTGAGTGCCTTCTGTGTATAAGGCACATGTCCTAAACTGTATCTGAGTATAAGATACTAGTTTCTGTCCTCAGAGACTTTATAGTCTAATGGGAACTTGGAATAAATAAAAAGGCAGTTGAGGTATTTTGTGGTAACTTCCGGGAAGAGCAGGTCCAATGCCAGGAAGCAGTTGATCTGGACTCAGAGAATCAGGGATAATTTTCCAGATCACATGCTATTCAGCAGACACTGAAGGCTGAAGTCACTGTCACAGCCTCCTAACTGTGTCTTCCTTTTGTCCACCTGCCACTCTCAACACGGCAGACAGAGAGGTCCTCTGCTCCAGACCCTCTAATGGCCTTTGGCTCCCCTAGAGAAAAGGCCAACCTCCTTACTGTGGCCTGTGTTTCTCTCCGTGGACAGGCCCACCCGACCCTTCTGACATCTTCCCTTTCAGCTTGCCTTCCTGCTCCCTCTGCTTTAGCCATGGCCTCCTTGCTATGCCTTGAACTCTCCAGGTCTCAGGACCTTTGCATCTGCCCTTGCCTCTGCCTAGAATGCCCTTTCCCCAGATACCACCCAGCCTTTCCTCAAATGCCACCTTTCCAGTGTGGCTTTCCATGACCACCCCATCCTCACTCATTGCTGGTAACTCCTCCCCACTTTCCATGCTTCATTTTTCTTGATAGCACTTAGCACATTCTGATATATAATTTATTTAGTTGTTGACTGTTTCCTCTTACTAGGCTATTAGCTTCCTGAGTGCCTGAGACAGTGACCAATGCTCAGTAGACACTCTATAAATGTTGAATGAAAACATGAATGAGCAGTAGTCAACAGGTGAAGGTAACGTGGGGGTTGTTTCTGATAGAAGAAAATACAGAAGTCAAGAGTGTGTAGCACACTTGAGAAAATAAGTAGTTCTCAGTGGCTAGAGATGGAGTTCTTTTTTTAGGAAGAAAGTGATGAGAGAGATGGCTGGAAAGCAAGACTGCATCATTCATGGCCTTGAATGCTCAGTTAAGAAACTTGGGTATCATGTTCCATGTAGACAGTGGAACCCATTGAAAGGTGTGAAGGCTTAGAAGGCTATGCAATTTAGAAAGATCTCTGGTTTCCTGGTGGAGAATGCACAGGTGGGCTCAAGAGTGAATAGTTGAGAACAGGAGGAGCTTACCATAGTAATCAAGGCATGATATGACAAAACCATTGAACTTAAGGTATTTGGACAAAGAGATGCCATAAAGGGAACAGAGAGAATCAATAGTCTGGATATGGAAGAAATGTGAGGCATCAAGAATGATACCCAAGGATGGTGTTCTTGGTTTGGGGAACAAAGTGATGCTTCCATTCTCTAAGATAAAGGGAAAGAGGAGACGATAGAGGAAGGGGGAGGGGCAGATGATCTAGAGTCCATGTGTAGTTGTGCAGGGTGTACACTGCCCAAGAATACCTGGCTAAGGTGAATGAGTAAAGCCTGGATCCATCCCTTCATCTGTTTATCAACCTGTATCTGGCCCATAGCTGCATCTGCCAGGAGAAAGAGGTCCCTCTTTCTGATTACTACAAAAGCATCGTGTGGGCTAAACACAGCCTTGAGATGAACTTGGTTTTGAACTTGTTACATGCAAAGTGCTTGTGGTATAACCAAGTAGAAAAGTCTCTTAAAATGTTAGGCATACAGGTCTGGATCCCTCAAGAGAGATGTGGGCTGGAGATTCAGATGTTAGAGTCATCTTCTTGTTGAAACCACAAGTGGATGAGCTCCCTTGGGAGAATGAATAGTGAGATGAGAATGGGTGTTGGAGTTCAGCTGACAGATACACAGTGTGGCTCACACTTCTGTTATTTTTTTATGGGTACTTGCTGGAAACAAAGCACCTTTATCAACATCACTAAGTTATCTCATTGGACAAATATGGTGATTTGAGATTTTATCATAGTGGGGGTGGAGGAGAGCATATTGTTTCTCATAATTGTCTTATGGAGATAAATGGATTAATTAAATTTTTAGAAATCTCAAAAGAGCCTTCTTTTCATAGCTGGAGTCTCCTTTTAAAGCTCTTGGAGACAGCTTCCTGTTTTAAAACAGCCAAGATACATAGTGCTGTGATTTTCTTCCTTGGATGCATCATACACATTAAATATATTTTCACTATTTATTTATTTTCTCTTGTAGTATTCCATATGCAGTGAACCTCTAATAGAGCTGTCTAACCCTGGAGCCAGTGGGTCCTTGTTCTTTGTGACCAGTGATGATGAATTTATCATCAAAACAGTTCAACATAAAGAAGCGGAGTTCCTTCAGAAGCTACTGCCAGGCTATTACATGGTAAGTAACTGCGCATAATTAAAGCTTCTACTTAAGGTTTAATTACTTTCCTCAACTGTTTTTGAATGTTTTTTTCCAGTGACTCTTTGGCATGTTTCCTTCTCTTTGGTGAGCTTTATTGTGCATTTAGAGTATACTATGACATTGGTTACACAGACTTTTAAGAAGTAAGTAGAACTGAGTAGTAGAGCATAGCTGTTGACTGACTCAGTCCTGGGTTCAAATCCCACTCGGCCAGCAACTAACTGTGACCATAAGTAAATAAGATAACTTCTGAGCCTTGGACTCTTCCATCTTTAATGGCTGGGAAATACCTGGCTACCCTGGTTGTTGCAATAAGGAAAGGATATAGGATGTAGGATAAAGGTAGCGATGCATCGCAAAGCTCTTCGCCCCAGAACATAGTAGTCATGTGACTGGTTACCATTCATTGAGTGCTAAGCTATGTGTTAAACATGGCTATCAGTGCTTTGCATGCAGTAACTCACCTTGGATACTTCAGTCATTGCCATTGAATAGATGAGGTAATTCAGACAAAGATAAATGGGGTAACTTGCCCAGGGCTGTTTAGCTATTGGGCTGTTGGCCCAGGGCTTGAACACAGCGGTAGGGTTCCAGAGGCTGCATCCTTAACCCCTGCACCATATACTGGCACACATTCCATGTTAGCTATTCTTGGCCACTATACTTCAGAATTTAGGATTTCACAGGTTATATATAATGTGAAAATCACCTCCTATGTAATATTTTAGGGACAAAGAAACAATAATCTAACCCAAGTGGACTTACTAGACATTTAGACCAAACTTTAAAAAATAAAATAAACACTCTTCCTCGGTAGTCTTGTAATTTTCATACTTCCAGGTTTTTTATACTTTCATAGCAGTTATTAATATTCTGTGATTGGAATGGCTGCAGGAAAAAGTTTGGATTTCAGAAGACCCAGTCCTGCCATCATTTGCTATGAGAGGTGATCGCTGTCATCTTCGTTTCAAAACAAAATTGATGAGATGCCACACAGCTCATTTCTATGTAAAACATCATTCAGTTCCAAAATCTGCTAGAAATAACATTAAATGCTATAAAGTAGTCGTACGTATAAATATAGGAATCAAAAATCTAAATAAAAATCTTAGTGGACCACATGTACAGATGTTAAAAATGTTTTGGTCCTGAACAAAACTGGGAAATTTTTTAGCACAAATTGTCTGCTTTGTATTAGAGAAAATAGAAAATACAGAAAAGAAAAAAATATGCAACCATCTCTAATTATTTCCCCAGGGATACATATACTAATATTTGGTATATATCATTTCAAATGTATTCTAGTCATGTGCACATTTTTAAATAATTTAAATTTGAGATCAAACTGACATAGTACTCTTTGTTAATTTGCTAAGTGAGTAAATCTTAAACTTCTATAATTATAAGCTTAGACTAATCTCTTCTTCTAGAACTGCATTTGTCCAGTGTGATAGCCATTAGGCATATGTGGCTATTAAATTTAAATTAATTGAAATTAAGTAAAAATTTAAAATTTAGCTGAAGAAGTAATTTTATCTCAATTGTGTAAGCTAATATAACAAATAATATAGTTTACCCCATTAACAAGAAAAACTATGAACATTATGTGGTTATCCATATAGATGCTGAGGAGGGAAATAAGGTACTCAAAGTGCAATATCTTCTCTTAACTAGAATTCTTAAAATTGGCACAGAAGCTTTTAACATAATAAGTAAATAACTGAACATACGCATATTACATACATTTATCAGTCCCCAAGAGTTCACAAATGTCTCATGGAGAAGAACAAGAGTTCTTTTACCGGAAGTAATGGGGAAAAACAAATGCTCTCTGTCAAAAGTCCTTTCTGACGTATTTGCTAGAATTTCTAGCAATAACTTTTTAAGTGCCAAAAGAAAAAGTATAAACACTGTTCTCATCAAATGATGCAATTGAAAATTTCTTTAACTTTGTTTCTGTATGAAATGATGGATGTTCACTAAACTTATGCTACTCATCTCATGATGCACGTAAGTCAAAGCATTACGCTGCACACCTCGTATGGTGCTGTATGTCAATTACATCTCAATTAAACTGGAAGAAAAATTGATTCCATATGGAGTAAAAACTAAGTGTAATTAACAAAACTATTAAAAGTTCATAAGAAAATAGAAGAAATTTGTAACTTTGGGGTGTAAAAAGCTTCACTGAATAAGAAGCAGAAAAGGCACAGGAAACAAGTACATAAATGTGACCACATGAAAAGGCAAAAACATCTGTGTAACAAAAATATCCGGATATAAAATTAACATAAGCACATAGAATATTTCTAAAATGATACAAAGAAAGTGGGAACAGTAGTTTCCACAAAAGTTGGGAATTAAGGGAAGGTTCAGGGATAATAGACTTTTCATTATATAAATGCACTTTTGTAAACCAATTTTTTATTTCTCACCTATTTTTAAAGTGGAGCAAAAATAGGCTTGTATTCCTTATTTTTATAACAAAAAAGACAACATACTGGAAGAAAATACTCACCCCCTGTAGAATAGGAAAATGATAAATAACCAGAATATATCAAAAACTTTCACAATGACAAAAACCTAAAGAAAAATGAGCAAAGGATAGTAACACAAAACTATCTTTGAGTAGCTAAAAATACATTAAAATATTAAATTTCTTTAGTAATCAGTGGTATCCATCTTTAAATTAAATTAAAAACAAATTTTCATTTCTCACCAAGCATGCTAACAAAAATGGTAAAGTTGGATAGTATTCAGCAGTGATAAGAGTGGTGGAAAACGTAATCTTACAAAGTGTGCTTGTAAATTGGTCTGGACATTTGGAAGACAGTTTCTCAGGAGCTGTTGAAATTTTAAATGTTCATCCCTTATACCCCACAATTAATTTTCTGTTGAGCTTCCTTAGAGAATAATCACACAGGGCACTCATCACGTCTTTGTGCGTCTCAGATTAGGTGGAGCTAATTTGGGACATTCTGTCCATTTTCAGTTCAGTCAGTTTTAATGCCCTGAGTTCTGAATGGTCAAGTTGCTGTTCCAGTAAGCTGACTTAAGAACTAGATTAGGAACAACAACAATTTTAACAATGGCCATTCTCAAAGATAATCACATTCCATTTTTAATTATACTAAATGAAAACACATTTAGTGGAGCATTATTTTGTAAAAGTAGATTTTAAACGTTTTTTTCCTTTTTCTTTTTAGAATTTAAACCAGAATCCAAGGACTCTTTTGCCAAAATTTTATGGACTGTATTGCATGCAGTCTGGGGGCATTAACATCAGGATTGTGGTGATGAACAACGTCTTACCACGCGCCATGCGAATGCACTTTACATATGACTTGAAAGGCTCGACCTATAAGCGAAGAGCATCCCGAAAAGAGAGAGAAAAATCCAACCCCACGTTTAAGGACTTAGATTTCCTGCAAGACATGCATGAAGGGTTGTATTTTGATACAGAAACATACAATGCACTCATGAAAACGCTTCAGAGAGACTGCCGGGTAAGGAAATGTCATTGCTCTGATTTCCTTTGAAAAGTCATCTGTGCTGATACATCTTTATAGGTAGGGAATGTCCAAAAGCCAACACATGGAATCCCATCATTCCCAATCCTGGTGCTGGTCCATAGTTCCCTGTTGTTGAAAGAACTGGGAGATGATAAGGGAATTGTCTGGAGTCTGTTGATTTTACTAATAAGCTCAGTCAGCTTTCTTTGGTCAATTGAAACAAAAATTTTTTTTCTTTTCATCCTCCCCTGTGGGAAAGGTAGTTAAACTTGGAGGGGAAAGAAGTTTAGGTTTAACACAGTAGTAAGTAAGAGAGGCTTAGAGAAAATGCACTGGTGGGATTGATAAGTGGATCCCTGGAAATCCAGTGTGGATGCAGACCCACGGGGCAGACCCATTTGCTGAAATTGTTTTATGCAATCTGAATAAGATCAGGAATGAGGCTTGATAGTATAAGCAAAGACTGTTCCATGCAAACATAGCCAGAGCAAATATCAAAAGGAGGAGGGAGGGATTCACAATTTGAAGGTCCCCCAGCCTGCAGTCCTGAAGGAAAAAAACAAAGTCGAGGATAAATTTTTCTGACATGGTAAGTTTACAGAAAGTAGGTAAAAGTCCTTTTGGAGAAAATGATGAAAATGCAGTCTGGATTCTGAAGGATGATAATCATTTGATTAACAAATTCTCAGGAATGCTATTTCCTGACACAGACGAACTTAGGAGAACCATCCAGTTCTCAGCTGAGTCGGGCATATTGGAGATGGGCAGAAGGCGTGCTAGTGCAGGGTTGGGTCCAGGCCTGACCAGGGCTTTCTGGAGGAGAGGGTAGGAGCCGCAGGATGTACCTTCCAGGCTGTGGCTTCCTGGGCTTCTATGGACCTGTACAGGTAACCAGGGGAGGGGGAGCCCCTTCTCAGCCAGACTCGAGCTCACCTGAAGATGAAGAAGGCAGTCTGACTGCACCGTGTAGTATATAAACTGGGGAATCCTCACTGAGAAACACAGCCCTACTGTTTCTGGGTATTTTCTTTCTACATGTTAGAACACGTGTGATAACACACAACGGTGGGTCCCTGGAACTGTTGGTCTCTTCGGTACAGGATTTACTGCACAGTTCCTATTCTTGAGCTGCCTTTTATTGAATGCTTCGAGTGTGCCAAGCTAGCCTAAATGTTTTAATGCATTATTTTACTTAATTATCTCAGCAACCATTGTAATTCAGGACCATTCATACTTCCATTTTAGTTGGTAAATAATTCAGTTCTTAAAAAGGTTGAGAAACCTACCCAGCTTTACCTAGCAAGTCAGCGGCAGAGCCCACACGTTTTTGAGTACAAAGCATGTGCTCTTAACAGTTGAAATTTAAACATTCACTGTAAGGATTTTTTTTTAAAACTATCTTTTCAGAAGTCACGGGAAGACCAGTGGGAACAAAACAAACAGAAAAATGTCCAGCTGAGCTATTTGGATTATCTGGGTGCATATGAGTGTTTCATGTTTTTCTTTTTAAAAAAGGGGAAAACAAAACACACACACACACACACACACATCTTAGTAGAAACCTTTTCCTGTACTTTTCTAGTTCTACAGGATGTGGGTGAAAAGTGACTCTCAATTCCCCAGAGTTTAGTACGGTTTTAGATTTGCTTTCTTTTCCTGTGCGTGTGCACGTTTCTTTCCTCTTTAATATGGAAAGCCTCTTTTCAGCTGTCTTCTAAAACCACAGGCTTCTCTCCCAGAAGAAAAGGAAAAGTCAAACGTAAAAAGCCATTTCACAGGATTTATCTGTTTATTAGTTTTCTGAGCCCACTACTGATAGAATGAGTTCAAACATGATTCTTCATCAAGCATGAGACCCTGGAGATTTGCCTTTTTATTTTTTATTTTTTGGTGATTTGTTATTCTAAGGAGCATAAAGATCAGTGTAAACATATCCTAAGGCTAACTCCCTCTCTTTCGTTGTATTTGAACTTGTGCAAGACAGAGATCATGAAGCTTCCTTAAATTGCACGCATTTGTCTTCAAAAAAGCTTTTCTTGGAGTGGTAGTGGAGCGTGTACGTGCCAAGCTGTGGGGGAACCTGGGTCCCTTCTGTGATTTGCTTTGACCCTGACCAAGGTCTCTGTGATCAGGAGTCAGCAGCTGATTCTCAGAGCAGAGCTGCCTCTAGGAAAGTACATTTCTAGGATGGGAGATTTTAAGATTTAGTAGTCATGGACCTCTTTGCAAAACTGATGAAAGCTGAGAACTGTCTCCCCAAGAAAATGCCTGTCCACATGCCAGTTCATGAATCCCTTAGGGCCCATCATCCCCCCACTGACCCTACCCCAGGCTGAGGACCCCCATCCTAGAATCAGGCAGACTCATCTCTCTCCCTCTCTTCAGGTCATCCTCTGAAGGGCCCACGCCCAGGATGGCCGGAATAGAATGTATAGTTGGCACTGCTGACAGTATCTCTTGCCCTGACATCTCCCTTACTTTGCAGCACTGAGCTTTAGTGCTGGATGAGATGCTGTGGAGATTCGGGGAGGATGTGAGGTCACCCTTGTGCTGGTACCAGCACTGAACAAATGGGAATCTCTGCTGTTAACATTCCTCTAAGTGAGGCAGTACTGCTAAGGCTCTAGAAACAAATCAGGTAGGAGACTGCATTACTGTGTCAGCAGCCCAGCCAGAGAAAGGCGAACTAGACCCATATCAGGATACATCCTCTCTCTCGTTTATCAGATATGTATTGCAGGCTCGCAGTGTATCAGCAAGAATCAATTGGAGGTGAATGGCCTCCATTTTTAATCAGTCACCATTCAGCGTATTAAGTACCATGGTAATATTCTAAGGCATCACGGAGAGTGGGATAGGTAACAGCGTAGCTTGATTTTGAGGAAGGAGAAGAGTTCTCCAGGTGGGCAAAGAAGTAGAGCATACTTCTGGGAAGAGAGAATAACATAAGCTAAGCATGAAATGGCATGAGGTGTTTCGAGAACTAGAGTTGTTTGGTATTGCGAGAGTTAATAGTAATGGGGCATGTGAGGTAGGAGAAAAACTCAATCAGGCACCAAAAAATGTCAAAGACCCTTTCTTGTGATGCCAGGTCCTCTTAAGGGCTTAAAAGTGGCAAGTCCAAGAATCCCAACCTTTGGACCCCAGCTTCTCTTGTTCCCAGATACGGACGATAAGCCTCCTAGCCTCTTGCTGACTTCCTCCTGCTTCCTGCCCCCACCACTTTCACATTTTGGCTTGAGATCTCAGACCCGAGGGCTCTATCTCCCTTGTATGACCGCTGGCCAGAAGACACCTGCGTGACTCACTGACCTAGCTTGACCTGCGTACATCTTACCTTGCTCCCCACAGACTACTTCCCTGACTCCCAGTCAGAGCTGTGCATCCAAGGTGGCCTGAACCACCTCAACCCACAGTGAGCCCTCTTAACAAATGCCGTCTTCCCCTGTGTTGCCTAAGCAGCCCCCAGCCCCTTTCTGCAGCTTCCCCAGCCCAGCCTCGGGCCCTTGCCTGTAAGCCTACCCTCTGTGATGGTCCATCTCTACCAACTCTTCCATGTGGCACATCGGCCACTTGGAACTCTTCTAGGAAAGTGAACACACTTTATTCTTCAACCTTGCTGAGCCCACTTCCCCACAGGATTCTCACAAAGAACTCCTTCCAAAAGCAGGGATCCAGATCTTGGGTTCTTCCTGACTCCCACATGACTGGTCCCTGTTGGCTGTGCCTGGAGAAAATGGACATGTAAATAATGGGGCTCCCTTTCTGGGAGCATTTCCTCTTCCCTGACCTCACCTTTTGCCTGCTGTGACAGCCATCTACACCCATAAGTGAGCTTGGTCCAGGGTAAGAGTCATGACAGCAGAAAGTACTGCCAGGACATCACAGGCCACTTGCTATCAGAAACAGGAAGTAGGATTTATTCAGAGCATCCTTTGTGGCCCCCATGTGACAGGCAAGTCGAGAGGCATGTCCTATGTGAAAACTGCTCTTCCGAGCTGCTCCGTCATCTCCCCGCAGCCTGTCTTCCCTGCCCTGGGAGCATGATCATCTTTCATCATGAAGCCAGCCCACATCAGTACCCTGAACCTACCCTTTGCCTCCTTTCTTGTTCTCTTTCTCCACACTCACTAAATCACTGTCCTGTCCAGTCTGCCTCCTCAATAACTCTGGATCTGCCCCCTCCTCTCCAGGTGCTCAGCCACTGCCTTTATTGAGACCCTGAAGCATCATCACCTGGAGTTTTGCAGTAGCCTCTTTACTGGTTTTCACCACCATTGCCTTCCAGCATATCCCCCATGCTGCTGCCATAGTGATCCTCAGATCAGAAGACCACCAACTCCTTAAGATCCTCTAGCCGAGATCCCCACTGCCTTTGGGGCAAAGCCCATGCATACTTCCTAGCTTGGAGCATTGAGATCCTTCCTGATCTGGTCCCTGATGTTCCTTTAGCATTTTTTTTTTCAGCCTTCTCTCTCCCTTCTCCCCAGAGCATCCCAACTCCAGTCATTCTGATTTCCTGGACACATTCTCTAAAGGTTTTAGTCTTTTTGTGCATCTCTCACTCAGCTGGACCATTCTTGCCCTGTCTCCTTCACCTGGCCCGTACCTACTCATCTTAGGACTATGTAGGCATCACTACCCACAAGACCACCATGCTGTGGTTCCCCAAGCCTCCAGGGTTAACCTCTTTTGTGAGATTGAGCACACTATTTTATCTATTCACATGTAGATCCTGAGCCTGAGAATCAAACCTTAATCTATCTTTATCTTCAGTGCCTGGTGCTTAGTCTGTACTTAGTAACTGTTCATTGAAATACATATTTAAACAAAGGAATAAACTGTCTGATGGTAGAGGCAGACAGGTTTGGGTATACTTCCAAAAAAAACTTATCTCTGGTGACTTTTGCATATCTAATTGTTTTTTAAGTTCTGCCTATTTTGGAAGAGGTATCCAGTTTCACTGCAATGCCAGCCAGAGATGGCACTGAGAA